TCACATTTCCATCTCGGAGTTCGAAAAAAAAAAATCAACCCCTTAAAGAAAGTGAATCCTTTGGTAGAACTGTTTTGTAAGCTTTAAAGATTTGAAATAGGTAGAAAATAGGATTTCCTTTTTTATCGCTAATGATGCCTTCATTCCTGTTTTTGTTTACAAAATATTATTAATTTTTTATTCACAACTTGATTAAGAAGTAAACATATTTATAACTCAAGGTTTATTTTTGTTTACAATTCAGTTGTTTATTTACAAGTTTTATAATTATTACATAATATAGCAACACGTATTCTGAAAATTTGAGTTTTTAAAAACAAAGCAAATAATATAACTTTTATGTAAATATTATAAACTTATAGACTTTAGTGCAAATTCTGCAACAAGAAATTCTAAAATCATTAAGGTTCATAAGGTTATTGGACTGAGGAGTTCAATGCGGATTTTAACTTTGGATCATTCGATCGTTTATTTATGATAGAAAATTTTAAAAATAACTTATTTAATTTTATGATTTGTATTTACATTGAATTTTTAAAAGATTTGTATTTAAATAGTGAATAAAAAAAAATTCTAGTTACTATTTTTTTCTCTTCAGAAAATAGTTTACAGGTTTTATCTAATAATTATAAAATGTAATATATGATATATGATAATTATATAAGGTCATAAAAGCAAAAGTGTGCGATGTTCACTTGGGAAATAAGTTCGTGCAATATGTTTTAAGGCTTCATATTTTATGAGGTCTTATATGGTTATAAATAAAGGAACGTTTTTGAAATAATAAATATTCAATTATTCGTTCACAATTTAGATTTTTCAATTTTCAAAATATTCGTTAGTTGGTTAAACAAAGCATCATTTTTGTATTATATTATCACTATTTCATTTAAGTTTTAATCAATCATAGGTACAAATTAATGCCGTAGGAAGCCATTTGAACCTTTTTATTCATAGAAATATTTTTTTAATCAGCAGGTTTTATGTTGGCATGTTGGCAGCAGGATACGGCACATAGATCGAACGATTTAGGTATTAAGCATTTTCAACATTTAAAACAATATTATTTTTATAATTTTTAATTAACAAACACAGAAATCATTATAAAACAAAGGTAATATACAGCTTTTGTGTATATGTTTTTAGAAACAGTAAAACGTTTCTTTTGCACAGTTGAAAATGTTTATATTTTATTGTGTTACTATTTTTTTGTCCTTAAAATGGCATGTTGGCTCCAGGCTAGAGCAGATAAATTTTTTCTATTTTCATTATCTGATCGGTCAAGATTAAACGATTCAGTAAAAGTAGTAATGAGGATTATAGCAATCATTTATCTTAGCCATTTTCAGTAATTTTCGAATAGATCAATCGATAAAGATTCAAGCAACCGTGTGTTGTAAAACGTTATTGCTTTGTTTTATCTTGCCAAATAAATATTGACAATAAAATGTCCCTTTTTTAGTTACAAATAAAAAAGAAAATTCGTATTCTTTTCATTTTATATTGAGCAGTTTTCAAAATCTAAAATAGTGTTATTAACAAACACAGGAAAGATTATAAAACAAAATTAATATACAGTCTTTGTGTATGATTATTTTTTAGAAAATAGAAAACGTTCCTTTTGCACAGTTGAATTGTCTATATTTTATTGTATTATTATTATTTATTATTATTATTAAAAACTAGTAAAGAAGGCAAATGTTGGTTCTCATCAAAGGCTACTGTACAATTTTAGCATATTGCTATCCGTCTCTTCCTTGCACGATCAATATTGCTCATATTTCCTGGATATTTCAAATCCATGTTAGACGTATACTGTTACTAATTAAGCGAACGAATACTTTGTTTCGAAAATTTTTTGCTATATATTTTGATTTTTGCATTTGTATGAACGTGTTGAAGTTTAAATATATTGTTTTGTAGAAATAGATGGAAGACCGGTATAAATATTACCTCTTTATCTTCCTCAGATTTTTTCACACTATTGAAAGACGAATTTTACCACGACTATTAAGAATGTTTTTGTTTATAAGCATTAAGAGCAAAACCAGGTAATAAATTGTTAGTTAAATTTATTCTATCACTAAGTAGAAATTAACTAACAACTTTTTTTATTGTTTGATGGTTATCTATCATCATTTGATTTTTGTTGGTTCAGACGCATTTTGGCATTTCGCCATCTTCACTGTTCGGGTGATTTCTGAAAACTTCCTCTACAGAAATCGCCTCAGACACTGAAGATGACGAAATGCGGAAACGTGTTTGAAAAAAAATATCAGAGAGGATAGGTAGACCAAGATCATAGGCAACCATCAAACAATAGGTTTAGACCCTACAGACCACAAGAGGAAATCTCACAATTTATTATCTGACTTTGCTCTTAAGAGAGCATTAAAGTAAAAAACTAAGTTATAAATTGTCAGTTAAATTTTAATCTATCATGATTTTCTGGCGTTTTGGTGAATTTTCTTTCAAACTTTAAAGAATTTTGATTAAAATTCATAAATTTCTGATCTCGTATAATTTGATTTACATTAACATAAACTTGTTATAATTAATATAACGATAAAAATACATATAGTTTGAAATAATTAACTAGGTAATAAATTGTTAGTTAAATTTTAATCTATCATGATTTTCTGGTGTTTTGGTCAATTTTCTTTCAAACTTTAAAGAATTTTGATTAAAATTCAGAAATTTCTTTTCGTCTAATTTGATTTGCATTAACATAAATTTGTTATAATTGATATAACGATAAGAATACGTACAGTTTGAAATAATTAACTAGGTAATAAATTGTTAGTTAAATTTTAATCTATCATGATTTTCTGGTGTTTTGGTCAATTTTCTTTCAAATAATAATTAAAGAATTTTTATCAAAATTCATGAATTTCTGATTTCGTCTAATTTGATTTACATTAACATAAATTTGTTATAATTAATATAACAATAAAAATACATATAGTTTGAAATAAACAAAAAAATACGAATGATCGATTTTTCGTCTTTTGAAAATATATTTGGTAATTGTAAAATTTTTCCAACTGTCTGTTTTTGGTTTCGATTATAATTGAGCTATAAGATTCTTAACATTTATTTTTTATCCATTAATACCCATGTACGATTTAACAAAAACCTTGATTATATTTTTATACCCATATAAAACTGCTGGCCAAAAATATTTTGTTCAAATTCAAGATTCAATCGCATTATCATTATATACAATTTTAACTAAGTATGTGGGCCCCAGAATCGGAAATTTTTTCAGTTTTTCTTGTCAAACGAAAACACTCTGGTATCTAAGAACAATCATTATTGAACGTTTTGATTTTTTCTGATTGTTGGGGAAATTATAAACCAATAAGTTATAAAGTGAATATAACTTCTGTTCCCTCTATATTTTTTTATTGAGGCGTTTTTGTGAAAAACCCCGGGACAAGTAAATTTCTCTCCTGAACCAAAAAGTTTTGATCTAACTATGTAGGATAACAAGATAATCATCAACGTACATTTTTTGAAGGGAAAAACATTATTCGGGAAAAACTTTTTTTAAAACGGTTTCTCCAAATTTAAAACTTTTTGCAACAATCCGCAAAGCTTCTGTAAGAAATTAATGAAATACTCTGTTAAAAAGAATTTACCGGGCAGCAAACGCACCATCTTCATTATTGAACCGAACACTTATCGCTTTTAATATTTCAGCGTGGGGGTAGTTATCATAAAAGTGAACATGGTATTTAGAAGTACAAAAGGGCGGAAAATTAAATGTCAGGAGCAGCAGTAAACTTGGTTAAGACCCTTATTTCTGGAGGAGCGAAACGAAGGCGTTTGCTTTTTATCAATTCGGAATATAACGCGAAATTGACGGATTCCGGCTGAAAAACAAGGGTCAAATTACCCAATTGGAAAATTAGCCGCGTGTGAAATTGTGAAAACGCAGTTTTTATGCTCGATTGGGATTCAGATAGTAGAAAGACGTAAACACAAAAAAAGTGTGTATATATAAATGNATTTAATTTTTGTAGCCAAAGTATGATATGTTGGCCAGTTTAATAGCAAAAGTTTTAAAATTTAATTATGATTAATTTTAAACAGCCACACAAAGCAATATACAAAGTTTTATGTTGAATATTCTTGAATATATTGAATATATTTGTATGCATATATAATATATTGAATATATTTGTATATACATATTGAATATATTTGTAAGTATATATATATATATTGAATATATTTGTACGTATATAAATATATTGAATACATTTGTACGTATATATATATATATATATTGAATATATTTGTACCTATATAAATATATTGAATATATTTGTACTTGAATATATTTGTATGTTGAATATTACAGAAATATTCAACATACAAATTTGTATATTGCTTTGTGTGGCTGTTTAAAAATAATTATAATTAAATTTTAAAACTTTTGCTATTAAACTGGCCAACTTATCATATTTTGGCTACAAAAATTAAATTACTCGTACGTTAATTATTAATTTTTTTTAAAAATTTAAGAAAAAGCAATTCTTTATTAACATTGGGGGATGTCATTTTTAGTATAATTCATGTGTGAAGATAGGAAATTATACTTGGAGGTGTAATTTGATAAAAAAGAAATTTTATTTAACCCCAATAAAATTTGGGTTGTTGTGAAATAAATATGAAAAAGTCGAATTTTTTAGCAGTTTTGCTTATTTAAGGTGTCAACATGCCGTCGTTTACCGAGTTCAAGTAAAAGTACATATAAAGAAAAACTTTGCTAACGAATATAAACTATATGTCAACTCTCAATTGATCAAGCCAGAGTTAATGGGCTGATATAATATTTTGATTATTTAATAAGAGTAAACCTTTGAATAGACGAAACCTAAGAATGGACTCATGGGTCAACAATGGGTTAGATTGGGACATCCTGAGGTTATCAAACCCTGAATCGTGGAGGCCAATTCATTCTGAAGTGACCAGCGTTTTTTTTTCTGTTTCAGATCTGCCGAGGTCCAAATGGAGGCCCACTGACCGAATAGATAAAAGCAGTAAAAAATTAGGTACAGGATATGGCCCATAGGCGAAAAGTTGCCATCCATATTTTAAATCCTTCGCCCTTGGGGAAAATCACATGAAAAAAACGTCTGCTATATTGACATTTTTCTGTTTCACTTGTTCTAATTGGAGCAGAAAGTTTGGTTTTTTCCATTTACTCGTTTTATATGACATTTTCTCCAGATATTAACGACCGTTGCTGAATAGTCTGACAATTGCAAAGTAGGACTCGTTATTTTTAACTTGTGTGGTTTTAAATTCTAAATATCTTTTGTTTTTCATTCAAAATTAGGTTATACCTCTGCATACCCATGTTTACGCAATAATAGGAAATTAATATTTGAATCGAGGTTTTAGATATGTTCAATTTCAGGATGCCTGGGAGGAAGAAATCGGCAGAGAAAGGGAGCGACGAAGGCCTTCCGCTCGCTGAAAAGATGGCCGAAGATGATGCAGGTATTGGGGTCAAAGTAACTGATATATTTTTAGTCCTATAAGCTTTACTACTGATTTTTCCTCAGAAAAATAGTTGAAATAAAAGGGTTTTGAAATCAATACACAGATTTAATTTTTCTTGTCTACAAGCGAAAAATTAATTCACCATCAAACGCTTAAAAAAGGGTATATTTGAAAAACCTTTTTAGTCTATTATATTTAGTGGCCTGATTGACCGTATTACATCTTTCAATCCATTAATCTTTTTATGTAAGGTTTTGGTTGAAATGAAAAAGTTAGTGTCACGAGCGGGATTTGAACCCACGACCGTCGTGGGTTCAAATCCCGCTCGTGGCACTAACTTTTATTTTAGATTTATCATATTCAATTGTGTAGAGCATTATTGTTTGTAGTGGCAATTAATTTTTTAAAAACGTAAATGCTGAATGAAGTTTGTATATAATTACTGACCGTGATATCTCAAAATAATAAAAACTCTCTTTTGGATTTTTTAAAATATTGTTTGCAAAAAGAATTTGTGGTCGAATTATATACTACAACGTGTCTGAAACATAATGTCACACCCCCTCGACATCAAGAATAGATAAAACAAAATTTTCAGTGATAACCCATTAATTTTGGCAACTGTGTTTGGGGTAGTACGGAAAACGAACTCAACATTTTAATTTCAAAATTTGAAATGGCACTCCATTTTTTTCTCTTGAGTTTTTGAAATTAGATTTGTTTAACATAAACGAAGTTATCCCTATTTAAAGCCATTAGATTTCGTTGTCCGATTGACCAATAACATCTTTCAATTGAACAGTTGAGATAAAAAAGTCAGTGTCACGAGCGGGATTCGAACCCACGACCTTCGTCTCTGCTCTACCACTTGAGCTATCGTGACTTCGATCCATTGGGACACTGACTTCCCATCGCTCCAACCTTTCGAATTTTCCCACTTTTTTTGCCATTTTATCTCAACCAATGCCTTACATAAAGATTAATTAATTGAAATATGTTATTTGGTCAATTGGATCACGAAATCTAATGAATTTAATAAGTTAAATGAAGTATATCTTCACTAAAGCTCTCCGTGGCCATTTCATTTGTCGCCGAGAATCAAATAGATTATACGACATTTAAAAAATGGCAAAAATGAGGGAAAATTCAAAAGGTTGGGTTGAGATAGGAAGTTGTCCGAGAGGATAGTAGTTACGATAAAGGTCAAGCGGTAGAGCAGCGGCGTATTTAGCCGCGAAGGTCGTGGGTTCGAATCCCGCTTGTGACACTGACTTTTTTATCTCAACCAATGCCTATTTAAAGCTTTACGCATGTCACGATTATTTTCCCAAACCAGATTATAAATAAAAAACCTTATTCAAGCGTTTAACAATGTAATTTGCAGATGGCAATGATTCTGAGCGCGAACTTTCTATTTACGTATGCATTTCACTGGTGAAGTTTTTGTAACGATCGATAGGTATTTTGATTATCGTTGTTTGGCATCTTCGTTTTGTTTATATTTTTTCGAGTTACTGAAAAGCAACTACAGCAATAACTCTTGCAATATTTACTGTCCGTATTGTTTCTTTGTTGAAATTACTGTCCGGCTGTATCTGAAAGTAACCGCAAGAGTATGCTCCAGATTGCAGCAACGGAGAATTGCTCAATTTAAGAATTTCGTAAGATGAGAGTTAACTCCTCCGCTCAAAAATCTCTCCAATTTACAATATTTTAATATTCAAAACGTTAAAAACCTACCTAAAAGCTATAGTCTCTTAACAAATATTTTTAATCAGATCATGACTCTTGCGTACTATCTTCACCACTGGAAAACTCACAGGTCATACACGTTTAGAAACCTCGTGAATATCGATGGGACAGACCTATTAGCCTACTAAACTACCAGGATAATAGATGTTGTTACATTAGCGTACAATGTGCGGACTGCTATTGCGTTAATGGACGATAATAGCCCTCTCTCCGTACCAAGCTACATTGAGGACGGAGTTCCTCAAGGCGCATTTGTTGTGCCCCATCCTGTTGATGATAAACCTTAATATGTTCTATACTTTACCCAAGAAACGTAAAATTAGTAATAAATTGGACAAGTGTAAATCTGTGATCCTATTTCTTTTCCTCTTCCCAGTCGTTAGTCGTCTGTCGTGCGCCAGTTAGCTTTTACAGTAAAAAGTGGTGTTCATACCAATACATTTGTATGAGTGCATCTGGTTGAATGTCTCGCGACTAACATTGCCAGGTTCTGCATAACAAGTTCCTGAGGTTTGCAACAGACAATCGGAAGAACACACTGGTACACCACACACTCATGGAATACTTACAGGCGACCTTTAGGGTTTGTAAGTAGTACCGCTGCACTTTTCCAATATAAGAAACTATGGCTTGGACGAGCCAGAAGAATGAAGCTTTATAATCTCTGTTATAATCTGACCAAGATATTTTACCCAACAATAAAAAAGTATTTTTTGAATATGGAATTTTATTTTTCTTTGATTTGGTGGTAAGCGTCGTTGGATAGAACTGCATACGTCTGTATTTTTTATATTATTTCTACAAGTTCATCGATCCAAAACAGCGATGATAAAGCTGATCAGCATGCTTGGAAATGACCAAAATACATTACCGATTGTTTGATTAAGGATGAGAAAGAAAAAAGTTTAACCATGTTTAAAAGCGTTTATTTATGTAAGTTTACATACGTTTACAATAGAATATTTTCACGTACCAGAGAACAAAGAATGAGAAAATAAATAGAGGTAGGGGGTCTTTTTCCAGTTCCAGTTTCGCGCCTTGTTTCTGCTAAAGTCTGAACCTTCTAACTGGTCCTAAAACATCTAACACAAATGACTATGAACAGTCTGTACCTTTCTCTATTTATTCCTCAATCATTGCATTTCTATTTGAACATTTTTTAGGCGAGGTGAAGCTGAAGGCGAAGATGAGTCTTCTGAACGGAATCACAGTTATAGTAGGCAGCATAATCGGCTCGGGGATCTTTGTCTCGCCGACTGGTGTCATCAAGTACACGGGTTCGGTGAACGTGGCTCTAATCGTCTGGCTTGCCTCTGGCGTGTTTTCTATGGTGAGGAATCAATCCTCTTCGGAATATTTTCAGCAAAATTACGTCTCATTTTTTCAGGTCGGTGCGTACTGCTACGCTGAGCTCGGTTGCATGATCTCAAAATCGGGCGCTGACTATGCCTACATCATGGAGACTTTTGGCCCTTTCCTCGCCTTCGTACGACTCTGGATCGAGTGCATGATCGTCCGGCCGTGCTCCCAGGCAATCGTCGCACTCACATTCAGCGTCTACGCCCTCAAGCCTTTTTTCCCAGACTGCGAACCGCCCGACTCAGCCCTCAGGATGCTCGCAGTCGCCTGTATCCGTAAGTTGATTATTTTTCATCTTTGGAGGATTTAGCGATTTTCACTGTTAGAATTATCGATCACTTTTTCATTCACAAACATTGTGGATCAAGGTATGTATGATCTAGACTGTGTCGGTCTAAGGAAATTTGAGATCGCCTGTAAAGAAACTGTAATATGTCACATTTAAAATTGTGATAGACCCATTAATCATTTCTATCATTTCTATTTTAAGATTGTTTTCTCTGACCATGACCTTAACATAGATCGAAAGCTTGGCAGTAACAATTGAATTTACTTTTTTCTTCAAGACCATACCTTGATCCAGAGTATTCGTGATTTAGGTATTTTACAAGCATTACAGCCTAAAACATGCTGATTATATTGGAATGATTGTAGATAAATTTTATGTTGGTTGTATATTTTTTGACACATTTAAGGCGGTTTTAAAAATTGTAAAGGAAACATCTTCAACTTTAAACATCTTCAGCTTTTGTCAATTTGTCCACTGGTGAAGGTCGTATTTTTAACACAACGTTTTATTATAAATAAAAACAATTTAATTAAGCTTCCATCAAAACTTGCGGATATGGCTTAAAAACCATATAATTGCTAAAATACACATTAAAAAAAAGAAAAGTTGATTTTGTTGATTTTCGTCTGTTCTGTGTAGATAAGCTAGTTGACAAGGTTTGGGAAGCCGATGAAAAGCTATTAGAATGGCTTCGATTAAAAGCTTATCTCTATATCATCCTCCCACTCTTCTGGCCTGATTCAATCACTTACATTTACACTGTGTTTGTCAGAAATTTATTATTTACTTACCGTAAAACCGGTCATAGGGAGGTCTCCAGTATGTTTTTGGATTGTATGTGAATTTTCGAGGTACATATTAACATCAGATTATGGTAATTGATCTAATTCCATTTTTTTAAATTTACTGACAGTGAATGCCAACCCGAGATAATACGTGATAAAATCGAATGAACTATCGACTATGTCAGAAATGGTGACCAAGATGGGTTTAATGTTCAAGCGGCCAACTCCTAACTATGATTGTTTTTACATTTGAGAAAAGACCGTTGACGACGAACGGCATAGCAAATGATCTGTAATTAGAGATAATGCCAATACTTCTCATAAAGCTTAAGCGTGAAGGACTTTAAAGAAAGTTCTGAAGTTCCGGTATTTATCTTCCATTTTAAATCTACCAGTTAGAAACACATTTTCCACACAAACACGCACACATACACGAGAAAAATTATAAACATGCAACATTTTTCATAATAGCGTATTCCAAGGGGAGAAATAAAGGAGAATATATATAGTTTCGAGAATATTCCTGATAAACGGTATAAATAAAACTTACTCTATTTGGATCAGAATACATTTTACTTTTATTTTAATGTAGCAATCCCTATCCAATTTCTGTACCTTGTTCCGGTTCCCGCCCACGTAGGGATAGGCGGGAACGAAGAAGCAGACAGGGCGGCCCATGTTTCTCACTAGGGTCGCAATGCCTGTTAACATTGAGGTTCTTTAGCGTGCGACTCACCTCCTCGCACGGAAAGCTGCTTCTTTTGTGAGGTTCGGTGCAAGCCCGAGGAGGTGGGTTAACATAGTGCACTCAGGGTTACCCAAAAGGAGTCGAAATGCATCAACCAAGTCTCCCACGCACTCCCTACATAGAGAAGACAACTCTCTGGGTGTAGGGGCTCCGCCAGCGTCAAAACATCCGGAGCTCTCCGGCTGCGGTTTCGGTTTTTGTGGAATCTCTAATCACCCCCTAGAGGTGATCATGCCTTCGGTAATGGCAGTCCAAACGGCCACAACCGAAAACATCCGCCCCCTTCCATCATTCCTCATGCATTCGAGGGACTCCGTCAGCGTAGTCTTGGCATCTTCGCACGCTGTACGCTTCCTTGGTCCTATCGTCCAAATGCATGCAAAGAATGCTTAAGGCGATCATGCGCGCCAGGAAACTCGTGCAGTTTTTGTTTAAGAGAGTTGTTACGTTCTTAAGGCTACACCATTATTTTGTGCCTGGAAACCCCCCTTGCAACCGAGCGTTGGGAAAGGGTTTGCTGGAGTCTCCTAGGAGCACCCACTGCACAGTCCCAGGAATTGGATTGAGAAAAAAGGGAATTTGTCGAGATGCGCTTGCCCTCACACACATCCCACCTGTTCGTTCAATTTACCCTTCTCCACATTATAACTCAGAAATAATGATCCACCTCTCTTCTGCGGCATCTCATCGAAATCCTTCAAGAGGCAACCACCTCGCAAGCTGCGGGCACGGTAGTCCCTAAAGCCTCGCAAGCTCACATTTTCAGGATTCGCCCGCTCCTCCCCGGAGACTAACCACCCATTCTCGGTTCTAAAACCGTCTTCTAGGCCTCTTGCCGTTTCTTCGAACAAGAATCCTACTAAGGGCACCTCACATAGTTGCTAAGAACGACACTAGGCATACCCCCGTTGTACCCACATTGTGCCGTATCCTGGCCCGGTTGTTCCCAGGGCTTCCCAAGCTCACCTTTTCAGGTTACACCCGTTCTTCTCAAGAACCGTCCCTTTCGCCTATTACGAGTTAACTCCGAGAGAATGATCTACCTCTCTTCTGCGGCATCTCTATGACGAGATCTTCCAAGAGGCAAACACCCCTCCGAGCTGCGGGAACGGCCGGCCCAGGCTTCACAAGCTCCCTTTTTAGGATTCGCTCGATCCACCCAGAAACAACCGCCCCAATCGTATTGCTACATCTCTCCTTCATCGAACGAGCAGGCTGCGGTCCTTTTTGTTTGTTCAATCTTCTAAGAGACTTCTATAGGGCGGCCAAAGAGGCCCACGACAGCCCATCAGTTACGCCTAGCGGATTTCAGGATATTACTTTCAAATGTTGTAAAAGCAGAATGGAGAAACCGCTGGGCTCGGAAAAATCGAAATAATCCTGCCAAAATGTGAGAGGTTAGGAAAAGCGTCGTTTCCTGGTCCACGGAGAACGGGGTCGAAAAGGAAAAGGCAATACTTATAAGATTACGCTAGGTCATATATAACGCACGGGCACCTTCTGGCTGGAAAGCGACCCCTTGGCTGACCGTTTTACAAGAATAGCATAGGAGCACCTTTTCAGTTATACAAGGATTGATGTTTGTAGTGATGTATATACATGTAGCGTATGTTTTATTCTGTATTTGATAACTCGAGATACAAATGAGCTAGAATTTTAGGATATCTACGTAGATTTCTTATAAAAGCAGAGAGTCAGTAATAGATTGAGACGCATGAAAGGCCAGAAAGTGCAGGAATAACACGCAGAAGCGATTACCTCAGCTGTTTGTCGGTCCTTAAACTTCCCACTTCATCATCTTACATTTCCTGATATTCGTGTTTTCTTAACCAATTTTTTATTTTGACTTTGCAAATATAAAACAAAGCTGATTTCCTCTCTACACTACTTTTATATTGGTTTTCTATTTTTTAACGATGGATCGGCCATCTTGCAAAAAAGAAAAAGAAAAACGATCTCATTTCGAAAGGTAGGTAATCACGATAATAAGAGTAGGACGCTACCGGTTCTTCCCTCTGTGTTTCACCACCTCAGAGTTAGTTACGAAACGCTAGTTAATAGCCAGTTGAAACCGAAAATTAAGACGTGTACAAATCATAAAACACAGTCGGAACGTTTGAAAAGTGATACGTTAAACATTTTGCAACTGGCAATATATTAAATAGTTTGTCAATCCACTTTGACCGCAGTAAACTAACACTAAACTCAATCAAATGCCAATTGATGCTATATTCAAACTTTTGAGTTTTATAAGTATATTGAAATAATATCTTCTAGGGGTTAAAAAACGAGCAGCATACCAATAATATATTATTTAACCAAAGCGGTTTAAAAACACACAGGGAGCACTCTCAACACGACAGACAAGAATGACACATCTACACGGAAAACGAACACTTTGAGCCCTGAAGATGATCTCTATAAAGATCGAAACGTTGGCACGATAAAGAAAATGTTTTTCTAAAACCTATGTCACACCAGACCGCATCTCACGATCTCCAAATAATCATTATTAATATTAATCTAATCCAGAATCTAATCTAAGACAGAAGGTGATAGACCGAGGTTTTGTCTGTTTTCTTCACCGAAGAGTACTGTGTTTCAATGACTCACTCGCATGCAATATTTCAACCTAATCATTCACCCATTTATTAAAAATACGTTATTTCCTTTGTACACACTCAAATAGGGCGATGAAATTTTCGGTATTCCTCCATCACCATGTACCCTAGGTACGACGATATACAATGAAAGCCCCGTCATATCACCAAGTACGAGCACCCGCAGTTCTCAAGATGCTATTTTCATATCGGACCACACATGCTCTCCATATGGAAGCATGAACTACATCAATCGTGTGGAACTTATCGAGCGTTCGTTCTTTGCATGTGCCAATAAGAACGCGAAGTCACGCGTAAAAGTAGTAAACTGCTAACCAGGTTTTTGAACACTTTTCAACAGATCTGGACTAGCGGCTGTCATTTTTGTTATAATATTGTAAATAGTTCTTTAGTGTGGGCCTTGCGCAATGACACCATTCCAATCAATCTTCCAGTGTATAAAGAAAAAAGCACAGGTTAAGTACGTTCCCAATGAAACTTTAGACAGACTTTCCAGATCCGCTACGATAGAATAGAACAAATTTTTATTTGTACATGTGCAATACAATATATACAATAAATTTCAATTAGTTAAGGTTTTTAGTTGAGATAAAAAAGTCAGTGCCACGAGCGGGATTTTTATCTCAACTAAAAACCTTAATTAATTGAATGATATTAATTGGCCAAGCGGACCACAAAAACTGGTGAATTTAATAATTAAAAATGAAGTACACTTCACTAAATCTCTCCGTGGCCATTTCATTTGTCGGCGAGAATCAAATAGATTACCCGACATTTGAAAAATGGCAAAAAGGAGGGAAAATTCAAAAGGTGGGGTTGAGATGGGAAGTTG